AATGGGCATACAAGCTATTTTTATATCCTAATATGGGCATACAAGTTATTTATACCTTAATATGGGCATAAAAGTTATTTTTTATACCCTAATATGGGCATACAAGTTATTTTTATTTTCTAATATGGGCTTACAAGTTATTTTATACCCCAATATGGGCATACAAGTTATTTTATATCCTAATATGGGCATACAAGTTATTTTATACCCTAATATGGGCATACAAGTTATTTTTATATCCTAATATGGGCATACAAGTTATTTTTATATCCTAATATGGGCATACAAGTTATTTTATACCCTAATATGGGCATACAAGTTATTTTATACCCTAATATGGGCATACAAGTTATTTTTATACCCTAATATAGGCATATTTTTATACTTTATACATACAAGTTATTGAACCACCAAATACAAAGAATATCTAAAAGCGCTATTTTTTTGATACTTTTTGAGCAAACACTACCATCAATATACATGACAATATGTAAATAAAACTGTAAAACCATTTATTTTCACTGTTTTTATGTTTTCAGCATATTTACATATACGTGCAAAAGCAGGGCGTTAAATATGGCCATTTAACCTTTTCACCACAAGTTCCTTTTTTTCAACATAAATTCAGAAAATAGTCTTGTTTATAGTCTGCACTTTTCTTCAGCTAATTGGCACAAAAATAGCAACATTTTTGTGAGTAAAAAGTGAAAATTGACTTAAATTGTGTCTGTTGGCTCAAAAATTAGAATTCATTTTCCAAAATATTAAAGAATATTGAAAAAATGAAGAAAAATGTGTCTGGTGGTGAAAAGTTTAACGACCCATGTCTGATAGCCTGGTGTGTTTGATTTGTATGTTTATCATCCATTTTTCAACCTTACTTTTCTAACTGAATATAGATTAGGATAACCTCGATTCATAACTGATTTGAGTTGGGATGCATGCAACATGGAAGTGGGAATATACTCTCATACAACCCCAAGCATTCTACAAAAGCTGCCATCACCATTTAAGCCCAAAAAAGCACAAAAATCAGTGCTGACATGCAATACCTTAATGGCCCCTTCTTGCAAATTACTTAAACGATAAAAAGCATCATTGTCGGTGTCATGGTGCTGTCTAGAGACAGAAGCTGGTAGAGAATAACGGTTCCGACCACGTTGTTCCTATATGAATGACATAGATTTGGTTTTAGAGACTTTTAATCTTAGTCATTTTCAATATATACATCCACCTATTAAAACTGACGCAACCACCAAAGCAAGCACTGCAAATGCTACACTGAAGGGGGGAAGTAACAGTTATTAAGTGAAGGAATATACAGGAAATGATATTTAAAGTGTCACAATCATTGTGTAGGCCATGTTGGAATTTTGTGAAAACAATGTAATTATAACTGGTGAAAATTTATATTCTTTTCAATGAAGTGGTGAGAATTAGGATTAATTGTGGAATATAATAATTGTCACTAATATTGGTAAAAATTATATCAAATCTTGCTGAACTGTCCGAAAATGGCAGTTTCTGGCTCTTGTCTCACACTTCTTGCCAAAAGTGGGTTACGTTAAGCTTGGCATTTGGGGGGTATTTGAAAAATATTATCATTTGTCAATTTTCACCCCCAGAAGGTACAAAGAAGTTCGACCTTAAGGGATCAAGCATAAGGCATATCTTTCTGCATTTCTAAATTTAAATATTATCAAAATAAAAGTGGAAGGCAGTGTTCCATGCATGTAGAGCTTCATTACCATAATATCATGGATGTGACATATAAAAATCATTCTCCTTCAATCATACATACACACACATAAACTACAACAAAGTGGGGAAGAATTACCCAGGATACAGAAAAAAAAACTTAACTTGCTTTAAAAAATAAAGAATCAAAAGACTGAAGCATGCCTGCGCATTCAGTGGAGATAAGAAAATTACATGTGCAGAACTTATAACTTGTTAAAAGGGTATGTGGGGGAGAGGGTTTTGTAGAATTTAGAAATTACAACTATAAAATCAGGCACTGATACATGTCTTTAATAAATTACATGACAAGTATTGTATACAGTTGTATACATGTGCCCTAGAATGATATCAAGGCAACAATGCTTGGTTAATTCCATATACCATGTGTGACATTAAGGTCTGAGAATATTGTATTCACCTAATACAAATACAGTTAGTTAGGTTTGTTTTTGAAAAAAACATAAAAGTTTTTGATCTACTGCATAGTTATACTACTGTGAGGTGCAATTATACTACAGCCTGATGCAATTATACTACAGCATGATACAGTTATACTACAGCCTGATGCAATTATAGTAATACCACAGCATGATGCAATTACACTACAGCATGATACAGTTATACTATAGCATGATATAATTATACTACAATGGGATACATTTATACCACAGCATGGTACAGTTATACAATAGAATGGTACAATTACACTACAGCAAAATACAATCACATTATAGATTATGTCACCACTGAAGGCAGCACAGACAATATATTAGTATACACGGTTTGAGGCTTTACAGTGGCCTCATTATAGATGTTACAAATCATACACGGCTGAAGCAGTATGGAAAACACTTTACCAAACAAGGATCAAGATATTCTGGTCAGCTTTCAAATGTTGGGAGAAGTCATACTTACACTGGAATCACTGTTAGCATTCATTAAGCCTTTGTCAAGCTTTTCAATATATACATTAAAATCGTCCATAAAGTTCCAGTCTTTCTGTCCACATAGATTATCATCAATAATCAGATCATCTTCTTCGGTTCCAGGCTCAGTGCTAACATCATCACCAATTGCAATCAGGTTGTAAGTCAAAGGACTGCAATTACAATGTAGTCAAGCAACATTGTTACACAATAACACATGACATACACATGTTTATATTACTTGGTGAACATGAACTGTGACCTCACATAACCACATATGGTGACCTCACATAATCACAGCATGGTGGCCTCACATAACCGCATATGGTGACACCACATATGTTGACCTCACATAACCACATATGGTGACCTTACATGACCACAGCATGGTGACCTCACATGACCACAGCATGGTGACCTCACATAACCGCATATAGTGACACCACATATGTTGACCTCAGATAACCACAGTATGGTGACCTCACATAACCACTGCATGTTGACCTCACATAACCCCGGCATGGTGACCTCACATAACAGCATGATGACCTCACATAACCACAGCATGGTGACCTCACATAACCACAGCATGGTGACCTCACATAACCACGGCATGGTGACCTCACATAACCC